GGAGTAGCCGCATGCCAGTGCGATTTAGGTCGTGAGAAACTGTTAACTGCCCCACCTTACAAAACCACACCGTCTGGCGATGAGACCAAATCTCGATACCCGACGGCACCGTCAAAAAGAGAAGCTGATCAGTTGACATGCCCCATTAGTCACATACTAGTGACTTTCAAGTCGCCTCTAAACCCCAATGATGTATTTAGTAAAGTCTTCCCAGCATCGACGCCAGTAAAGTTCGTTAAACGTAAACTAGCAAAATTACTGGGTGTGTCAAACAGTAACCTTATACTAACTAAGAATAGAAATGTATTGAAGGAGACAAGTATCTTGTCACAACTTAAGGCTGATCCACTTGGTAACCTTGCTGTCGACGTGTTTACAAAGGATTCAGAGGACTTTTCTCTGTCGTCAATACCCAAAGAATCGTACGTCCACGAACTACTGCATGCAGTTCTTCCGAAAAAGAAAGATATGCCATTTATCGCAATCAAGTTTAAGGTCCCACATCAGAATGCCACTTTCACTCGTTCCTACCATTCTATAATGAAAGTTCACGAAATAAAGAAAAATTTAGGAGAGCTCTTTCAAATAAATCCCGACGTTTTGGTGTTTTTACGAGGAGATAATCCACTAAAAGATCGTATGGCTCTTATGGATCTTGATTACGACAAATATGGAATAGCAGAGATTGAACTGCTTACGACCAATAATGCAACATTGAATTTCGATAAACTATACAAAGAGGTACCAGTAAATGATGTTTTAAGTGTGATGGTGCCGTTTGGAAGAACAATAAAGCAGGTTAACGTTGAAATATTTTCTGAACCAATGAGGAAACCTTTCATAGGAGGATATAAGAATGTGCACACAGGTATCTGTATTTTGTAATACTTCACCTTTGCTAGCATATATGGGGTTCACACCGGCTCGCTTTGACGTAGTTTCAGGCTTTAGTGTTATACAAATTCCAAAAACCTCTGAGCGCCAAACAGCGATTTCTACATACCTACATATTAATATGATGATTAATCTATATATAGGTAGGTATATAAAATGAAACCCGTTTCCCGTTGTCACGCCATAACTTGAGAATGGCTGGATCGATTTGTGTTTGTTATTGTCAGAAGGTTCTTATGATAGAAAACAATCCTGAAAATCTCATGGGAACGGGAGAAAACGGGATTGCGCGTACGAAATCGCGGGCAGAAGCTAGTGAATGATAAAAATATGAATTGGCGGTTAACTCATAGGCCTTGGATATGACTTATGATTTCATTTTATAAAATTGGGGGTCGGTTCAAATTGATTTGTCATGTTTAAATAATAATATTAATAGATACGATTACCTAAATAAGGGTTCTAATATCTTCACAGGTACCGTATACCACCATGCATATACTCAAACACCGCAAAAACCGGAGAAACTACGTCCAGAAGAGAAGAACTGTCGAGACACACAGACAGCAGAAGAAAAGGAAAAAGTTTATGTACGTAACTATCTGTACCTGTACAATGTACATTTATCGCCTACTTTCCGCACTATGGTTAATTTTGAAAAATCTATGGACATTATTATTATATATATTTCTTTCTAAGTACATGGTACACTGAGATTAAAGTCTTACATTAAACATAGAATTACATATTTCTGATGTAGAAATATTAAATAAGCTAACTCCACGCAAATCTTAGACATTGCAATAATTTTCATTTGATAGTTGGTAACTTTGGTAAGTTATAGTACGCATATCTGAAACCTTCATGGTATCAGATATGGTAGGTACTATCTTCTCTCTAACTTAAATGATATAATCATAGGTAATGCTACTAATATTACCTATACCTAAATACGAAAGTTTATAATTATGTTTATTACTCCTTCACGTCAAAACGGCTGAAGGGATCGGGATGAATTTGGAACAAGGATAAGTAAGTAGATGATGCTCTGGAATAACACAGGCTACTTTTTCCGATGGGAACGTGGGCGAAGCCGCTGACAGAAGCTAGTTATACATAAATAAAAAAAAGTTATCCAGGTTCCTAGGCCTTACCTACTAAAATTGTTTATTTTTTTTTCAGGATACAAATTACAGTCGTGCAACACAAATGAACAGCGTTCACGCATATATTCCGAACGTGACTGATAGAATAGTGGTTCCGAAACCATACGAGACCTATGAAGAGATGGTCATCAGATTAAACCACGGTCACTACGCGTCGATAATACAAAGAGCTTTCAAACGACACCAGTTTCGGCAATTTGTTAAAAAATGGCTAGCTGAATGCAAGTTTGTATCGTATTTATTAAGACTTAGAGCTTGTTTTACAATGTCTGATAGTCTTAAGTGGTGGATCATTGGACTAACTTAGTTACCATAAAAATGTGACGACAAGAGTCGCTAATTCGAAAATTGTGAAACATGTCTATAAGAATTTGTATTTTTCCATATGTAGATAGGTAGGTACTTATATCTTGTGTATGAGAAAGTTTAGAGGTAGGGTTGGACTAACTGACCCCAGGTGGTTCTGGAGTCTGAGAAGATTGAGACTGAGTCTCTATCAATTTGAGGTTGCTTCCTAGACTGATTGGGATGCTCAGAGCAAAGAGTTTAAACGTCACGGTGATATCGTGGCCAGATTTACAGCCTTTGCCGTAAATATGGTTTTTACGACATAGTAGAAATTAGATAAAACGTTATTGTGTATTAAATACTGAAAAAACGAACTAATACTTGTTTTTCTTTTTATAGAGAAAGGATAGAGAGAATGAAAGAAGAAGACAGATTGGAGAAAGAGGCTATGGAAAGACGTTTACGGCGGGATCTTATCACCAAGACATTTCCGAAAACTCGGGAAGATTTTGATCAATTATACGCAATGGTGAGTAGTGATGTAGATAATTCATATTCACGTAGTCATGACGACTGGGCTTCACCCAGTTGTGTCTCTTTTTGTGAATTAGGCTTAATTCATTCTGACTCCTGCAGTAATTCATCAAGGGAAGTGGAAAATATAGTTTTTTTTCTCCTTTTAAAATATCCTCTGATTCACTTCGTTGCGGGAACCAAGTCAGTTACATGTCCCTGAGACGCGCCGGACTTTAGTGAACCGGTGTTTTCGTGGTTGTATCTACTGTAGATCCTGACTTACAGGAGTTGCAGCGATTTCGGTAGGTAGTGGTGGGCTGATCCCATAAAAAAATATGTATTCATTTAGATATAGATTAGGTTGGGTACTTACCAAACTTGATTAAATTAATAGCAAAAAATTTATTATATTTATTTTTATATTATGTTACGTCCCAAAACATAAAGTTAAATGGGTCTGTAGGTACTTCCCTTCTTTGCTTGCTGCTGAGAGTTTTGTAAGTTCTTCAACACGGTCGCTCGTAGTGTAGGATATCTTCTTGAAAGCCATCTAGGTACATATAATTCTTATTATTTATATGAAACAGGAGCCTACAGCAATACTAAAAAGTACCTACACATTGCTTATTTTTTACCACAAGTTTTTCTTTCTTTTTCAGGTTGACCGATGGAAACATGCTGAAATAGCACGAATATCACAGTTACACTCTAAAGGCCCAAAAATAGCAGAATTTTCATTACTTCTCGATAAAGAAGTAGAACTACTGAGATGCATTGAAGATTACAGAGTAAAAGTAAGAGAAGATAGTAGGAAGATAAAAGAAAAAAGATTTTTAGAAGAAATATCGAAGCCTGTTGCTTGGTATGGTCGCAGCGGGAAATTAATTACTATGGAAACAGTTGAATCTCAGAAAGCTAAAAAAATTAAAGAGCTTTATAATTCGTTTATACGCAACGATATGGAAACTAAAGAGCGCTTGGAACTTTTGGTTGATTTTAAATTCGCATTGCAAGAATTTCGTCATCCTCTAGCTGAAGAAGTAATTACTCTACTGGATCAAGAAGCCGATCTCCTAGTGAGGCGATATAACGCACATCAACTCGAATTTCTAAGACGAAGAACTGCTGGTTACGTCTTTCGTTTAATACAAACGTCTGAACTAAATTCTGGCGTAACTAAGCACAAAGACATAAGAGATTATCAAAAAATGCAGAATGGAAATCTTTACTTCTGCGAATTATGCCATCAAGTCAAACCTTACACTGATTTCCCATTGAATACGAGAATGAGCGGCTGTTTAATTTGCAAATCATGTTCGTGGAAAGACGTGAACGAACGCAGCTGGATAGATATGACTCCATTCAAGTTCATCTTGAGAGCAGTACAACGCGATGAGCGTCGCCGAAAATGTTGGGGCTCTTTGGCGTTCGTTCTTCAAGAAAAAGACATTTTCTTTATAGTCGAAAAGCTTTGGCATTCACATTCAGCCATTAGTGAATGCGATGATATCACCGAGCTGAGGCTATGTAGATGGCGAGTCCAAGAGGACTGGTCGCCGTGGAACTGTTTCCTTGTCACTGTTCAAGAAATGAAGGCACATCTGAAACTGGAGGATCCTGAAGTAGTATATGATGAAGAGTTGGTACAGAAGATTGGGAATAAACACAAACTTGCGAAGGCCAACTTTGAGCAATTAATGGCAGTGAACAAGCGGTACACGGAGACAGGAGACTGGCAGAATATACGAGCTCCAGCCACGGCCCGCGTTGATGCTGTTGATAGAATTTAATATTATTTACAATATTTTAGTGATGCCTAATTTATGATTGTTTTCTTTGTTGTTGTAGTTTATCTATGTTGTGTATTCTGAATGTAGTTTATATGTGCGTCTGTTGAAAATAGAGCTGAAATATTGATATCTTCCTTACAATATAATTATAAGGAAAATTAAAAATATGCTCGAATTAGTTCATTTTGTGTATGTAAGAAGTTTGAAACAGATCTTTGCACCTTTTAGTAGGTGTTTGTTATATTAATATTATTGACTCGCACAATTATTTATTAATTTTCTTGACTGTTATGTTGATTTTGTTCATAATGTTAGTGTCTGTATGTTACGGTACGGAATTATGAAATAAAACTAAACAGTTATTTAAATTGTCTTCTTTTAATAATTACACGTAATACTTTATAACATAATTACACATTACATATACAATAATAATTTCTCAAGATATCAAACTCTCGTGATGGTAGTTTAAACAACACATTTAAAACACAGGTGATAAAAGATGAAATTTCACAACGAAATGCACTTTAGAGCTACGCTTAGTCGATAGATACATATATTATGTCAATAAATTACGTAAATATAATTTAGGCAATAAAATGATAGCTGTACAATTAGTAAACGAAAAGGAAACCCATGGTCTTTTAAATAGTATATCCCAGCTGTGTAACAATATCCAGTGAGTTAACAACATCAGTTACAAAATATAAACACCCACTTAATCGTCAACTTAAAAAAATATGTCTTATAAATAAAGTAAAGCTGTCAGAAAATGTCGTCACACGGTAGCGAGGTTCAGATGTGACTCTGTACATTCCCGCTTTTAGAATCACATCTATGAAGTGATGCGAACCATGTAACCGCACGAGTCGGTGATCACATATAACAACGATTCACGTTCCCTAACACCACGATATTATCGTTTGGGTGAGCACAAAATGCATCAAAACACGAGTGTAACTAACATGACAATTTTAGGAATGAACTTTTGTTACTCACACAGCGTCAAACGTGTTTAGTGCCACAGAGCCAAATACGAAATGTGCCAAATAACAACAAATTCTTAGAAATAGATGGGACGAGAATAACAAAGACTCATTTTAACAATCACCAAACCTTGATTATCTTCAGAATTATACTTGCCAACTTAATGAGATGGAACTAAGGTTTCTCCAGTGCACTGCAGTTAGTGACAAACATAAAACAATCTCGATATAAAAATTACAGACATATTCGAATTCTTGCTTTAGAAAACATCTAATATGCAATATTAGATAAATTAAGTAATTCATGTGCCTTATTTATTAGTTCTAACATTTCATTCGTAAAATAAAATTTTGCCTAATGGACATCAGTCGAGTTGTGAAAATGGAGTCTTGCAAACAAGTCTATGTAAAGGAAACAATATTCTTAGACGCTGTCTAATCCTACAACTGTTTAAAAATCCAACATCATAAATTGTTCTATATTTTATTATCTAAGCATAGGTCATTCTCTCATTAGCGAGCGACTATCAAAGTAAGTGTTTGTACATTTTGCACCATCTCGTGAGACAGCGAATCGTGCGCGACGTAGCCGCGTCTATACATCTCAACATATCCGGACACCATCAACTGTTCCTACTCTAAATTTACTCAACAGAGACCGAACTATTGGTACTAGCTAAAATTTATTTACAATAAACAATTGTGCCTCGATAGAACAATACTCTAATAATTTGTAAACTCTCTCGGAGCAGTATAATACAAAAAAGTGCAGACACAATATTCACATAAAAGAATACATATCTATTATACACTTACTCGACTATTTTTGCACTTTTATATTGCCAGTTCAGTGGCTTAAACTCGGAATATCTCAATTTAATTAAGACTTCATAACCCATATCTATGTCGTCAACACAACTATCATCTTAACAGTCTGTGATTTATATTTACAATATCAAAGAGAAGGAAGAAGTATCGATACAAAGAGAAGAGGTACTTATAATAGTCGCGTGCAAACAAACGTCCACCACCTATTATATTGGTTTCACTTTTACAAATGGCATATCATATACTATTGCTATATAGGCTGTTCACAATATACAAGGGTTACTTAGTTGTTTTGGTTTGTATTTACAAGTCTTTCAACAAGGATCAACTTAAGATTCGGAATTACTAAACGCTTAGTTATATGTTAAGACACATATGCATGCACTAACAGAACCACGTGTTATTCCCATCAGCAAATAGGAATCGCACGCCGAAATCAACGCTTTTCAACACTATCCAATATCCTACATAAACTCTATCAGCCAACAGAACAATAATAAATCTCCGTGTATCTTAAAACATTCCCACTACCTCTAACGATTTGCTTTATAAACCAAACTTACGATTACACCTGCAGACGAAACGACGCGACCTCAGGCTTCTGTTTCTACCACGACCGGACCGACGCAGAAGCTGGCTAGTGTCTGTCGGACCGGTCGGAACGATCTGGCGCTCAGCGACACAGGAGCCTGGGGGGAGGCGTCGGGCGACAGACTGGCCGAGGCGGCAGACTGGCCAGGGCGACAGACTGACCGGGGCGGCAGACTGGCCTGGGCGACAGACTGGCCGGGGCAACCGCCAGCCTCAGTGGTAGCCGTCCAGCTCCATGGACGAGGAGTGGCGGTCAGAGCTGGAGTACGAGGAGTGCATGGAGTAGTTGAGGTTGCTGAGCGACATGTCCTGCGGCACGTCGGCGGGCGCGCCTTGCTCGGCCTCGGCGGCCTCCTTGTCGCTGGCCTCCATAAACTTTATGATGCGATGCGTCGCCTTCACGTGCGCTACTATCGCTGCTTCAGCCTGCAATGCCGGAAAATATTTCTTTTAAATCAAAGCTCTGTGTAACGTAGTAAATAGGACTGGGTAATCAATACATGTTTAATGAAGATGTTTTATGTGAAGTAAATTCTTACAACATGTTTCAATTTAGTTATTCTTAATTCCATAATAAATAATAATAAATAATAAAAATGTTTATTTCAAAAAGTTTTACAATTTTGTTGTATCCCGGACCTCACACTAGGATTCCCTGTGTCGTGAGGCCCAGGCTCCCTAACAAACAGTACATAAAGAAAAGTTATCATAACGCTTAAATATAAATGTGTATTTTGTGTGTGTGTATGAATATGTGTGGATGTAAGTGAGTAAGTAAGTAAATGTGTGTGTTGTGCGTGTGTGTGTGTGTGTGTGTGTGTGTGTGCGTATGCGCATCTGTTTTATGTAGTGATATATATACTTAAACAATGCTACATTTATCGTTGTTCGTGAATAGTAGCTAACTAGGCAAAACATGCAACACTAAACTGTTATAACAATGAAAAACTACTTATGCATAAGGATTCTAAGTTAATTTCAAAAAAATATTCTATTGAATGCCTTTATATTATTTTCTGCAGAAATTGTTATCAATGTCACAAATTCACAAGCAATCCCATTTTTATACAAATAATATTTTAGATACTAGATAATTTAACACAAAAAGTATCAGATTATGAGCGAATGCGCGTACAGTTTAGGTTAGTGACATTGGACCACATCTTGAGCAAACACTTACCTATCATTATTTTTAAACTGTCCTTCAAACTTTTAGCATTCAATGCATTATGTATAGCTAGTAATCATTGCATTATGTTATAATTATATATACTCTGGGTTCCAATTCACACGCAACTTTGCACCCATTTACTTTAAGGTTTCGTTTAAATTATAGCGAATGATAGCTTTTTCAGGAAGACTAAGTGTAGGTAGTCTCACACTTAAACATTAGGTTTTCAGTGTGGGACTACTTATGAGTCATGCTTCGGCACGAATGGGCCGGCCCGATCGGAGTGATATCACGGCCTCACAGGAGGCCGACGTGAAACAACGCTTTCGTTGTGTGAGTGAAGTTATCGAATCCTCAATTACCCCCACACCTCTCTTCTCCAATCCCTGAATCCTCAAATTCCTAATCCCAAAAGGCCGGTAACGCACTTGTGAGGCCTCTAGTGTTCCGGGTGTCCATGGACGACGCCGATTGCTTACCATCAGGTGATCCATCTGCTCGTTTACCGGCTCATCTCGTAAAAAAAGACTAGTTAGTGATAGAGTCTAGTCTAGACTCTAGTCTAGATGTTGTTTTTTTACTGCTTTTATTATAAATTTAATGTTCCAATAATTGCGTACTTATATAATAATATAATTAGTATCCTAATGTATTTTTTTTCTTTTTGTGATAGATATAAGTAGGTATAGGTATGTTTTGTTTACCGTTTTTTCATGTGGTGTTAACCTTTAATTAATTGTTGCACTTGTAAATGTTTCTTTAGCTATTTAATGAGTAATGTATATGTTACTGTAAAAGCTCGAACTACGGTAAATCTTAAGATTTAAGTGTAAGTCTTAGGATTTACCGACATGAGTTGGTAAATGTAAGTATTTCTGAAGATACGACGTTTTTTTTCTAGCTTTTACCATTCGAACTCAGTATATGCTAGGTTTTACCACTGTCAGCTGGTAAATGTTGGTTTTAGGAATAAAACAATGAATAATTCTTAATTATTTACTATTAGACAAAATAGGTACATAGTATTATAAAGATATCATAATGATAGTAACAAGTACAAACTAATATCAACTTATTAAAAGTAATTTGAAAAACACGTATCTGAATATCTTAATCTCTGCCATATCTATCTAACTGAATCAGTATTTCTCTATTTGGAATTTAACAACGAAATACAAACATAATGCTTATAAAAGTTAGTCTAACTTAATTATTATTTTTCTTATTATTTGGTTTAGAAGTAAATAAAGATAATCAAATGTAATTGATTAATAGGTAAGGTTCCTAAAAAAACATTCTCTTTAATGTTCCTTCTTTAAATGTTCTTTGCAGTTTTTACTTCCTTTAAACACTTAGCGTATTTGTTATTATCTTTTTGTTTGCCACAAGCTCGTCCATTATTTAATAAAATTTGTTTAAGGCTTGGAGCTTCATTTTGTTCACCTCATCGTTGTCGTTGTGGTGAAGATGTCAACAGCCTTGGACACCACGGCTTGTCATGTAGCCGTAGTGCGGGCCGTTTTGCTCGACACGCAAGTATTAATGACATAATTCGTCGAGCTCTTGCCTCCGTTGGCGTGCCAGCTACTTTAGAACCTAATGGCTTGGTACGCGACGATGGCAAGAGACCCGACGGTATGTCATTATTCCCTTGGAAGATGGGTAGGGCTTTAGTATGGGACGCCACTTGCGTTGATACTCTGGCGCCATCCCATCTTCCAAGCTCAGCGTGTCGAGCCGGTGCTGCCGCTGCTGCTGCCGAGAACCTCAAACGGCGAAAGTATAATAGCCTGATTGGCAATTATGCTTTCGAACCGTTTGGGGTTGAAACTTTAGGGCCGTGGGGCCCAAGTGCACATCTTCTTTACAAAGATATTGTAAGGAGGATGGTTGACACTTCAGGTGATCGAAGGGCTGGCTACTACCTTGGGCAAAGGTTAAGCATTGCCATTCAACGTGGCAATGCTGCCAGTCTTTTGGGCACCCTACCTCACGGTAACGATGAGGAAAATGTTTTCTTTAATGTCTTATGATTTATTTTTATTATTATTTTTTTTTTAAGGGATAAAATCTTTGCTTCATACTCATTTTTATTCATAAATAACTTTTAAAAACCAAAAATATAAATATTAATTAATTTATCGTGCGAGTTCAAACGTGTCAAACGAGCGATTGAGGCGAGCGGAGTGGCGTAGACGGTGCGCGGATAGCGGGGGCGGCAAGCTACAAGTCGATGCGCTGAGCACATTATGACATGTTTTGTTTTTCAACATTTACCATGCCGTTGATATAAATCCTAAGATTTACCAACGGAATGGTGGTAAAAGTTCGAATCGCAAATTTTTTTGGACATTTACCATTAGGAATTGGTAGATCTTAGGTTTTACTGGAATATCTTAGGATTTACTGCAGTTCGAGCTTTTACAGTAACATATATAGTGTAAACAATTGTTGGTTAACCAAAATAAATAGAGTAGATACAGAAGGTACTTACGCTGGCGGTGAGCGAGAGGAAGGCGTAGTACTTGTTGAGCGTGGGCAGTAGCGGCGCGTAGAGCGGCACGCGGAGGCGCAGGGCGCGCGCGTGCGCGGGCGCGGCGCACGCGGCGTGGCCCAGCAGCAGCGCCATGTAGGCGCCCACCATGCTGTGCTCCATGTGCGCGCCCGCGCGGGCCAGCACTGCCACATGCACTCCGTTACATCTCTTTACCACCATCAACAGTACGACTTTGTTCCACGTTCAAATTAATCTAAGCTAGTGCGCTCTGAGTGCCAAGCACGAATAACTATCGCATTCGTAACGTTATAGTATCGAGCGCGTTCGGCACTGATTGGTTGGTTCACTGGAGCTGGCCAATCGGAGCGCCGAACGCTGTCTCGTTTCGATTACTTTCAACGTAAAACAAACTCCTACTAAGACCTGAGTTATTTATTACAGTAATGTACTAAATCTATATAAATTAATATGAATTTCCGTTCGTTAGTCTCGCTAAAAATCGATGACGGTTCAACCAATTGGCAAATTTTAGTCTTGAAATGTTCGTCGAAGTCAAACGGTACGAGATTTACCATGTCAGCTAGTACATAATACAAGTATACCTAACCAAAGATAATAAGTTCCACAAAATAATAATAAAACAGAAATCAAGTAAGAATGACCATATACAAAGCGAATTCATTATCTTATTTGCGTATGTTAGTGAAACCGTTACGCAATCGAATTTAGACAATTTGAACGTGTTCAATTTTAGAAGCAACCATCACACAAAGTAGCAGTGTAGTAAAACATTGTACTTTTTTCAAATGTCGAAAGATAATCTATTAATTTTACACTTTACATTGTGATGTTACCGCTTTTTTACATAATAGGGATAATTAAATTTGCAATAAAGTAGTTTGAAAATAAAAATAGATAACTTACACTTCGCAACAGTTTCGTCAATGTCATCCTGAGATTGCTTCTTCTTATCATTATTATCATCCGGCTCCTTTTCGCCATCTAGCAGAGCGTCTGTATTTTCCTCAGCCCGCCTGTAAAAATAATTTATGAAGATATATTTAAAATACATAAAAATCAATAATCAAATAGCAAACATACAATCATTATATACCATAATTTTTTTGTTTCATTAATTTTGTCACTGATTTATATGACAGTCATTATAAAAAAAAAACATAAATATGTAAGCCAGTTACACCATCTTACCTTGCCAGTTCTTCCCGTTTATAGAACAGATCTACAATAAGATCTAAGGCGCCAATGCTCCTGGATATGACGTCCTCTTCGTTATCAACACGAATACGGACGCTCAACAACCTCTGTGTATTGGGTTCGTTGTTCTGGACTAAGTTAATTAACAGCAACAGTACCTGGGTGGACAAAAATGAAATGACATATCTACTCACATGATTATAATAACGGATGCCAAAATGCTACCATTTTATAGTGGATAGTCTAACAATTAGCGAAAATGTGTATTGCTTTGAAATACAGAATGTGGTACAACTTGTATAATTTTGGTTAGATAAGATAAATAAAGCACATTATAAGAGTAACTTATTGACCAGCATATGCATTACATTTACCAGTGTCCTAGCCCCCAGAAAAATAAAATCCGAGTGTCTTTAAATCACAAGTGAATAAGTCAATTAAAGGCAGATATAAAAAATATATAGTTAGTACTTACACAAACACTGAATTCAAAATTTCTGTTGTCAGGAATAAAGTTTCCTTGGTTGTACAGTATGATGAGACAGGTCTCCATAACTGATTGCTGCTCCCCAATCACCTGAGCTCCAAGTGAAACTGCAAAAACAAATATATTTTATCTAAAAACCCTTAATTTTATTTATGTTGTCTATTTCAAAGGTTTTATTTGTAGGACAACATAGAACATCCGTTTTCCTTAATACATTTTTATTATATGTAGTAGATACATAGTTAATTATGCATGGCCACACATGACTGGTATTTAGATTACCTATTTAAATGTCTGGATTTAGGTTTGGCGGAAACAACTATGCCCTGACAAAGTGTACGATTTTATTCTCGATCTTTAGACTGAAGTAGAGTTAAGAGAAAACTGTAGAGCGATTCTTTTATGCTAGTTATAGAGAGATCTACAAGTTTGCCTACAAGAAATTTGACAAATATATATTTCGGTAGTCTGTTCGTTCGGGTCAACCAGACACTTGTTTACTCTTCTCATGTTGCCATGGCACATAACTGCGTCAGCTCACTAGTACAGTAAGAATCATACTGCATTAACACAAAATTCCGTAAATTATATCATCCCACGAAATATTAATTAATATATTATAGTCATGGATACATTATCAACTGATTCGCTCTCAGGAGCACAGAAAGAAGAATTGATGGATCAGGTGAAACAGCAAATTGTCATAGCGAACGCTTAGGAATTACTGACGAAAATGTCAGAAAAATGTTTCAAAAACTGCATCAATAAACCTGGAACAGCTCTGGACAATTCTGATCAGAAATGTATTCCGATGTGCATGGACAGGTATATGGATGCGTGGAATCTGGTGTCCCGAACATACAGCAGTCGTATTCAGCGAGAGAGGAACAATATGTGAAAGTAACCACTGGGGACTCGGGGCTATGGGCCATCGTCACGGTAAATATAGGCGACTTAGTAGTTACAAAGCATTTGAAATTGTGTGTTGTGGCTACCGGTTATGTTAATGTGTGTTCAATTATTAGTTTCTGACAGACCTGTTAGATATTTAGTATTAATGGCGCTACTTACCGGCGGAGCCGAAGCTATGTGAGAGGTTGAGCAAGACTTTGAGCGCGGGCAGCGCGGCGTCGAGCAGGGCGGCGCGCAGCGCGGCGTGCGAGTAGGCGGCGCCGCACCAGGCGCGCAGCACGCCGCAGATACTGCGCGCCGCCGCGCCGCCGTTACCGCACAGGTACACCTGGTTGTCCTCGTTCGCTTGCGTCACCTGCTCAACGATATTATTTCACTTCGTATTTCTTACAAACAAAACAAAATTTGTACTTATAGGTAACTAACTTTTTTTTTTTAACTAACTTTAAGTCCTATGAAACTGTAATCCGCAAAGCGTTATGTTGTCGTTGTGCTGGTAGTGGATCAAATATTTATAAATACATAGCTCTCGAAAAAAAATCGACGCCACTACGCGGAAATTATTCAATTACCGCATCGAGACACTATAAACAATAGATGGCATGAAATTGACAATGGCTAAGGTTTTTCTGTTTTCACTATTTAAAGACTACCTAGGTCACTACATACTACTCATTTAGTCATTTAACATCAAGAATCCTAATTTTATCTTAATATTTATATTTTTAAATTACTACACAAATGGCCACATTGTACAGAATATCACAACAATAAAGTATGAGTGTCATATTTAGTATTACTTATCATTGCTTGATTCTCTTTTTACTGTGTTATGTAATTTAGATAAAAGTTATATCGAAAAAGTAACCATTGATAAGAAATTGTATTGTGAAAATACTGATTACTTACATTTTCTAAAACTCGCAGACATCTATCCGCTTTTCTTAGTATTTCAACGTCGGCGCTAGTCCAGCTGTCGACGGGCGAGTCAAGTTTCGCTGCGCAGTCCTGGATAGTTCGCACGATGTGGTCTACACCACCCAATACACGGAGTTCTTCTTTAAACCATTCACCAGCTCGTTTTGACGTCAGTGAAAGTAAAGTTTCCATGGCCAGATGACCCACCTGAGACAGAATAAACCAAATAATATAATTAGACATATTCCATAATTTTTTTCCAAGTCAATAAATACTATTCTAAGCAGAGTTCTAATACTCACAGTAATGTTTTCTAAATCCAAGTGTTGCGCTTTCCCTTGGCTTTTTATTTCGGCACATAACTCCCTAACCCTTTCTTGGGTTTTGGTTAGCTGGGCTGAAGTCAAACCGCAGTCATCAAGCGCATTTCTGAAAAAAAAAAAACAGATGGTAAGACTGCCACAGAGGTCTCTTCAAAGGTAAAATTTCAAAATACTAATGAGGCCACAGATAGTTGAACATATTATAATCGAGCACTTTTTACTTCTGTATGTATTCAGATAGAAGACACAGTACAAAATAGGGATTTCACTTACTTGTGTGATGCATCAGATTCGAGTAGGTTGAGCATGAGCTCAAGGGATTCACGATCCAGATCCATATTTAGACGGTCTTGAGACAACACGAACATCACTGTTGCAGTACACAGACCCAAACTCTGAAACGGAACACAAGTTGTAACATTCAAGTAGATAATAATTTTAATTAGGTGACATGATTAAAAATGCATTCAATTATATAACTTTATGTATTTTTATACAGCACACTAAGTTTGCAACAAACATAGGATACAAGGTTAAGGCAAGTTGAAGAACTAGATTTCATTAATCCTTGCTATAATTTACACGTCATGCTACATTTGTGCATTCCTAACAAATCTACAAATTAATTTAATTTTAATGTGATCTGAATTTAAACTTTTATTTAGTTTTAATTATAACAGGTACTGTGTTTATATCAATGTATTGGTATTTGGGACCATACTCTTGTGTTTTTGAGAACTTTGTGAGAAATGAAATCTAGACATCAACTTTGATGTCTACATTCCATTTATCTCAAGTACTCATTCTTGATGTAACACTATTCTATTAATAAACATCACAAATTGCAGATCAATTTGTGATGTTTATTAATATTACAATACAATTGATGTAGTTGTAAAAGTAAATATCCATATTTATGACAAAATCAAATAGGTAATCATCATAGAATTATCTAGGGTATGTCTACACACACTCTAGGTAGGTACTTCAAGACTTAACCATAAGTATGTATTTCATAACCTTAAAAAGCCTTACCTGGTCATTAGTAGCATCATGTAGTGCACTGAAGAACTTCTGCACGGTGCCATGCGCGCGCAGATGCATACGGAACGCAGGCGCTGTACACTTGCTCGCCAGTGTGATCGCAGACAGACAACGCGTAGATATCGGGTTGTTATTCTGTAGGAAATACAGTTATTATCAGTAACAATAGAAGACTTTATTCAATAATGGACATGAAAAACTCTCTTGCTGAATTCAAATTGTATATATAATATAATTTTAAATAGAATAGTTGTATCAATTTAATAAAGTATTCTACAGCTGCATTAGAACAATGCTTAAGTAATCATTTACTTTTATAAAATGCATAACTTTGTTAAGTTATTATTAGACACAAATGTACACACCTGCAATGCATCCAGGAGATATTCAACATCATCATTGAATTCTTGGAACTCTCCAATTTCCTGGATCTGATGGGCCTTTTTCACATTTCTCACAACTGTGTAAAACTGTAACAGGAAAAATTTACAGGTAGATTTAGTTATAATGTATAATGTAAATTACCAATTGTTATTTATGGTCAATTTATCAAACAAAACTTAATTTCATTAATAGAATAAAATTGATGTCTAGCATTATTTTGTATAGAATAATTGTGAAAAATTTCACAATTATTGTATACAAAATTTCACAATTATTCCTTTGATAAAGTTATTTGGTGTTGTAAAAATCTGCCCTAAATTAGAAACACAAAGCCCACAACAAATGTGCGCAATGTCATAAGTAATTTTTGATATTTTGATATATAATCTGAAGAGAATTATGATGAGTGTGAACTCATCAGAGTTGTGCACCATTGTCACAATACTTCGATGTGACAGTTCGCAAGTTTGCAACGACCCAATCCAGGCCCAACTTAATGCATACTATGAACATGTGTCTAATGAATACATACCTCTTTAGCCTCTTTACTGCATTTGACACTAGTGTATGGTTTAACAGTTTCAATTGGATCATCCACTATTGGATCTGGGGCTCGGTATCTAGTAACTCTGGTTAGTTCTTCTGATACTTGTCCCACTTGATTATTCACTTCTGCATTTTCAACTGGTTCTGGCCTTGGAGTCTCATTGCCTTTCTGTAAATACAATATAATGTATATGTAACAACTTGATGTTCTTTCATTATGTAATCAAAGCATTGTATTTTTACTATCTACTTGATGTAACTTCAAGGTTTGTTGTGTAATACCCTGATACAATTACAATTTCTAGAGATTAACCAAGAATCTAAGTTTATACACATTATTCTGCAAAATAAAAAACAGTAATAAATATTGTATAACCTTTTGAACGCCAGAGCAAAAACACATGAACCTGCCTTCGACACCAAGCCACAAATTCCACGCAAATTTCTACGAAAGAAATAGGAATTATTGGAATCCCTATTGTATCAACAATAGGGATTCCAATAATTCGTGTTTCTGGTTCCGCTTTTTCTGTCATGTATTTGTGTCGTTGACGTCCAGGGACAGTTTTCGCTTGTCGCGTATATGTGACATTGGCGGTCAAAAGGTTAATAGATTAACAACATAAAAATGAGTATAATTAAAATGTACTCACATCATTGGCCCATTCATGACGATACAGATGACGCCTTTTCCTTGCAGGCAGTGGTGATGGATTGTCATTGACTAAAGATTTGCTCTTGAATATTGATCCTTTCTTTTTAGTAATGACTAATTTAACACTAGGTTTATCTTCATTCTGTGCATGATCCTCTGACTCACATACACCTCTGGGTGATTTAAATACATCTTCTTGAGAATTTTTCTGTACCTCTTCTTCAGAATTTTCATTAGGACAGCTGTTGTAAGCAGAATCTAAAGATTGTGTGTTGGTCTGAGAATAGGTTGGAGTGTTATTTGTATTAAATGCTTGAGCAACTATCTCATTAGGTTCCTCTTCCTGACTAACTTCTTCATTGGAGGCACTCTGTTCAACAGGGGTATCCTCTGGAGGCATTTCTATATCATGATCAGGGCTTGAATTTTTATTGTGCTTATGTTTATGTTTTCTATGGATCTTAACCTTGGGAACTTCATTTTTAGTATTGTCACTTCCACCAGACAAAATATCTATTAGATCATTCTTCTCCATGGGAATTTCATTTTTCTCAACAGTTTGTTCATGTTCTGGAGTAGTAACTGCAGAAGCAATATCAGCTAAAGTTTCATGCTTTCTTCTAGTTTTTCTTGCTTCTTTTTTAATGTCACTTACAGTTTTGGTTCCTTGTTTATTTGGATAACCAGCTGTAAGAACATCCAAATAATCATCATTCTCACTATAATTTATGTTAGGTCTGTTTCTTCTCGATCTTCCAGAGGTACCACTCTCTGGGGGTTTAGGTTCAGGAGGTAACTCATTTGGTTGAACTTCTAATCTAGGGGATTTAATTACAGATCCAGAATCCAATTTAGCCAGCTGGGACTCAATATCGTCCCTAGGTGACATCTTATTTTTAATTTCTTTTTCAGTTTCATGCGAAGGAGATGCTAGAGTCTTGTAAAGATCATAAGCATCGGTCCCAGGTTGTGGTGAACTCAATTTCTTTAATGGTTCATCATCTGAGTTCTTGTGATGACGTTTATGAGATTTGTGATCTTTTTTATCTTTCTTCTTTTCTTTTTTGGTTTCTTGAGTTAGACCTCCACATTTTATTGTGATTTTCAGACCTTCATGCTTTGGAGAGCATATTGTTTCCATAGAAGGGCTCTTTTTATGATCAGATCCAACATCTGAATGTGTATCTAGAGATGAATGTCTATCAGAACTAGGAGACGTAAAGCCTTCGTTTGAATCTGTGCTGACAATTCTGGATGTTCCTTTAGATATCCTGAGCACAATTGGAGGAGGTTTGCGTTCTTCATTAGTTTCCTTACTTGTTGATGGACTTGTAACATCTGGTTTAATGACAGATGGACTAGATACTAATGGACTGGTTTTGGGTGATGGTATTTTAGATGAAGCAAGTTTTGATTGTGATGATTCATATCGAGTGAACTCTGGTATGGGGCTGTTACTTCCATCTTCAGCATAATTTATCACTTTATCACGATTGCGAACCAGGTAACGTTTATTTGGTGGTTGAGTATTTTCAGCAGGTGCATCTTCTTTTCTAGAAGCTTTTGTGGCAACAGTACCCTTTTTAGATTTGGATTTCTCAGAGTTACGACGGGGTAATTCTGGAGAAGATGAATCTCTGGTATAAGCCCTGCTTCGTTTAGTTGTCTTCTTTTCTTTACTATGTGAGGGATGTTCAGGTGACAGTGGGGCAGCAGGTACTGGAGGAGCATAAGTAATTTGTGGAACTGGTGGGTAAACCTCAGCATTGCGAGATTTGAAGAATTTCTTAGGCTTTGGTGGTGGTTGCTCAGTTTCAACTGCAGGCACTGTCAGTGGACTGTTTTGATCTTGCACAGGTTTTTTAAGAATATTGTTTGCATATGCTGAAACACAAAAACAATACATTTAGTTATTAACAAATATTGATTTAACAAAAGTAAATAAACAACACAGTCAAAAGTATTGAAATTGACCATAGATAATAGAATCAAGTTCACTCATTCAAAATGAAGGCACTGGTTTACATTTACTTTCACCATATTTTGATAGATTATATTTGTACAAATAGCGTTCTAATAAGAATATAGGTTTGGGAAAACAATAAATAACTGAGGAACTTGAATTCAAGGTTGTTTATAAATGACAAATGTGTCAGTGAACGTGCTTACCGTAAGGTGCGCTTCTAATCGACGTGAAGCTAGTGATTCCCCATTTACCCACTGTACCCGCCGAGCGGGCTGCAGTTGGGCAGTTGCTATTTTCTCTAAAGAGAGCACTATCCAGCGGTACGGCCACGCTACCGCCTCGGCCTCTGCCCCAGCGCGACATGCTGATAATTTCATCAAAAACGGTGACACCTGCACCGACCCCGTCTAATCAATCGTCGAGGCAAATGTCAAATCGCGAAACACATGCCGTTTCCAAACACTAGATTTAGGATTCGAAACACTTTAAAAATCCAAGGATATCACTTTTAGATCATTACTTGACTTTCACCAAATGAAATGAAAACACAACCCATAAAGATAACACACCCGCCATTTTTACAGGAGCTAAGTACTTTTCTCAGAGATGCACCCAAATGCGTAATCAAGCGACATATTAGTTTATCACGTTTCTATAATTTGCATTAAAACAATCTGATTCTCTTTGAACTTATGAGGTAGATCTAAAATGTTGAATTTAACAAGAGTTAATGACAAATAGGACACAAACTGCGATGTTGTCATCTCACAACACAAAAGACGCCATATTGGCTAAACAAGAAGTGAATTTCGTCAACCAATAGAAACACAGGAAAATGGGTGTGAACCATAGACTCACAAACATTTCAAAATATGAGTAGAGGTTGATCGTTGACTCGCAGCGATACTCAAAATAATTAAAAAAAATTTATAAAGGCTTTACGAGGCATATTGACTACCATATTAGTTATTTATCCAGTAAAAAGTTGTAATCCTAATTTAAATGAAGAGAGATACAATATATGTCACCACCATAGACAACGGTTAGATTATCTATATTGCGCGGGATAAGTGAAGTACGGGAAGCGTGAGATTTTGAGCGGAAAGTTTAAAAAATGAAAATATTGCAGGGAATGAGCTGATGATTATTTTTATTTCTTTGTTCGGTAGGTTTATTAAAAGAGCCCTCGACCACGGCAACTTTCTGTAGCGATGTAATTGGGTCTCCGGTAAACTCACACGATGAAAAACAACGCAAGCATTGTTTCACGTCGATCTTCTGAAAGGCCGTGGTATTACTCGAGCCGCCCCATTCATGCCGAAGCATGGCTCTCCTATTCAATGATGACAATTCAAATGACGTTACATCTTGCACATGTGCGTACCTACCTACGGCTTGTAAGTGGTTTACATGATCCCCTATACTTATTATACTCTTTGTTTACATGGTTTACACGATGCAAAATTATTCATACCAGCCGTGAAAAAATTCCCATCTTTATATTTCCCATAAATATTTAGGTACATACCTTTGATTACAATAATTGTCTAGATATAGATTTTTTTATTTTATTTAAAAATTTCTTGCATGTGTGCGTGCGGCTTGTGGTTTACACGGAGCAAAAAAATACCAAATACGACAAAAATTCTTCCATCAATTTTATATCTCCCATAAAATATTTGGGAACATGTACTTACTAACCAGACCTAAAATAAAAAAAAATGTAAAATAAAAAAAAAATATGTACCTTTTCTTTGAATTAGATTTTTTTGAATACTTTGTTGGTATTTATGTTTTGACATAAGTATAAGGAATTTATTTTCCCTTTGAAAATAATAATTAAATATTCATAATTATTATGCCATTTTTAACATTATATTTATAAAATCAATTTATAAAATAATATTGCAGTTGCTCTCTTTCCATCACAAAATATAACTAAATCGATTTAATCATTTGAAAATAACTGTTGAAAACCGAAACGAACCTTCTTTTTTAGTCGGTTAGAATAAATAAGTACATTAAATCGTAGGTAAGTGTTAGTTTAATCAATAATAAAAATATTATTTTATTTTTAATTTACAAGCAAGTGAGATTTTTTTATAATCTTTTCCCTCTTTATGAGACTCGTGAGAAGGGAAATTTTGAAAAATTTACTGGCAACACCGATAAAATATGGCGGCAATTAGTTAGGTCAAAAACATAATTGAATAATGTCATTTTTAATTACGATGGAGAAGAGATCTGTTTAGTACTTTTTATCCGTCATTTATAATTTTAGCAAGAAGAAAGAAGAACATTCCAAAGATGGCATGTGGGCATCTTTGGAATGTACTTCTTTTGTTTACAAATTTATTTTGTATTATGCATGCACGTAGTGACGCCTAGGTGACACGATTGGTACTACTTCTTGACGCCGCGCCGACGGGAAAGTGCGTTGCAGCGAACAGTTCACTGCAAATTTTTGGGCCGCTTTTCGTGAACTGACCCTCCATCTAGACATCATATATAATCAAAGTTGGCTGCCGTGCAACGTGTCGCGGGTTCGATTCCCGCACGGAACAACACTTTGTGTGATCCACAAATTGTTGTTTCGGGTCTGGATGTCATTGTCATCCACGACACTGGAAAAAATACAAATGTGGGGCAAAGTTAAAAAAAAATAGTACCTACAAGTACTAGGCCATTTAGAGGTGAAGTATAAAAAAATTGTACTTTTGTAAACTCTTTGAATTTGATCTGAAAGTTTTTTTGAATACTGCGTTGATATTTATATTTTGTCTTAAAAGTAATTTATTTGCCGTAAGATGACAATTATTAAATTCATTGTTCATTCCTATAAAACTAATTTATAACATATAATAGCACCCTTTCTTTTAAAACTAAATCGATTCAATTATTTAAAAATAACTGCCGAAAATCAAAACGACCCTTCTTATTTTAGTCGTAACACTAAATCGTTGGGAAGTGTAACTTAGATGCATAACAAGATTATTATTTTATTTTCAATTAATAAGCAAGTGAGATTTTTTAAATTTTTCCCACTCGTTGCGAGGGTAAATTTGAAAAAAATTGGCAACACTGATGAAATATGACGGCTAAAAACATTAACTGCACGTTTGGCGCAGTTATTGATCAATCGGTCGATTGGCTGCTATACAACGTGTTGCGAGTTAGGTTGGTGGCATTTAAACTGTCAAACACCAAGCGGTCACCGGTGACCGCAACCTATTGTTCTATAATTGTGTCTATAATGACGGTACTCGACGAGTTAAGCTAAACAGCAGCTGTAGTCAAATGCCATTTAGCGCTTGTCTACATGTAGAATAGAAAACCAAATTATATGAAATTGACGTACATTTTGACACTTGTCAGTGTCATCCCCATGCATTTAGTTTTCTACTTTCTCTGTAGACAAGCACTAAAGTGGCGTTCGGCTAAAGGCACAGGACACTCCATCTAGACATTAGAGAATCAAAGCAAAAAAACTAGGAGCCGTTTTTAAAATGACATAGTTACGGGAGGTAAGTAGCTACGTCATTTCAAAAACTCCGAGGTAACGAATCATATACGTATTGTTTTCTTATACGACAAAATAAAAAATACCAGTCTAATATTTTTTCATTACCTAACTTACGGACAAATTAGATTTTTAATTTCCGTCTACATATTTTTTTTTACTAAACTCGACTTGAAGAACTTAATCCAAAATTAATATCTACAGAAATAAATTAAAAAAAGTAAAATTATTATTGGTTTATCAATAGGTAAGTATTATTATTAGTAATGATGGTAAAAAGCTAATATACTTATATTTCAAATCTGGTAATATAAAATATTGTACATTGTATTATTATTTCCATACCCTGCGTGGGCTGAGCACCGCTGTGCCCTCAGGGAAGTGATCGGCGATGGCGACATCTCGCGTCCAGGCCTAGTGGAGCTCATGAAGCGGAGCGAGGGGAACTGAGATGCCGTCTCCTTCTTTTGCGAAGCAGTTATGCTAGCTAAGGAGGAGGCGGGACGCGTGAGGCAGCGAAGGGCTGCCTCCTCGCAACCCAGCCATCGTGAAGGACACACCGGGCGTCGGGGATCGCGGGACGATCTCCGGCCACCGTAAGCGCGGGCCTGCGGACGGCGAGCATGGGTGGCTCCCCGTCCGACCAGAAACAGACCCGACCGCACGGCGCGTCAAAGAGTCATCAGACCACCACAAATGGGGCCAAACAGGGCCGATGCCGATTCGGAGTCGCGGAGAACCTAACGGGTAACCAGGGCTCCGGCTCGACGTGCAGGAAAAGGAACGGGGTGCTTGTTAGTCAGTAAGAGTCTGACACTCCTCCCGCCTCACCCAGACGGGAGCAGCCATTCGATGATTTTCCCCCCTTAAAAAAAAAAAATATAGTAAATAATAAAATAATAAATAAATAATATTTTGATAAAAAAATATATTATTACTGTACTATGTGAAATTTGACAAAGATATTATAATAGGTACCTAGTCATTGTTAAATGTTTTAAATCGAAGTTAACAATAAACTTGTTTCATAATTTACATAATCTCCCATGAATTTGGGAATCTCAAAAATATTTTTGGCAACATTGCAGCGAAATAGATATAATAATATTTTAAAATTAATGTTAGATTTTTACATAAATTAATAGGTCAGACTTATGCGGGCGCTGGTATTTCCAATTTTCCTCTACGCGGCAGAGACGTGGATAGTACGTGAATTGGAAAAGAGGAAGATAGATGCTCTAGAGATGTGGTGCTGGAGGAAGATGCTTGGTGTATCGTGGACTGAGTTCCGCACCAACGTATCCATACTCCGAGAACTGGGCATCACAAAGCGTCATCAACCATAGTACAGACGCGCATACTGCAGTACTTTGGCCATGTCTCCCGTCGTGATAACAACTCCATAGAGCGGCTGGTTGTTCAGGGGAAAGTAGAGGGATCACAAGGCAGATCACCTTTGCGCTGGACTGATCAAGTCAAATCGGCAACGAGAAACCCAGTGTCAGACTGCGCCAGACAATGTCCACAAACAGAGAGAGATGGCGGGAGATCGTGAGGAAAGCTGTATCGGCCACCAACACAAATACGGCCGCCTCAACGTGACCACGACCGCTCTGGCAAGAGCGAAACGACAGAGAAGAAGAGAATAGGTCAACAAAACAATTTTCGTGAAAAGTAATTCCTTATACTTATAACTGCAATACCTATTTAACAAAGCATTTCCTTGTTGCATTTCTATGTTCACGTGTTATTTTGACGCGCTCTAAGCTTGTCAACGTCACATAGAACACTTTCTGGTCTTTAAGGAGGCTGATAAGGTAACAAAGACAAAGACCTTCAAACAGTATAATAATACTGTTTTTGCCCTTCGAGGTTTTTCATCTCTATAATCGAAACCCATCATACCTAATTGGTCTCGTTTTAAATACGACCTTTCCGGAAATTTCAAACTTATAATTAGAAATCATAAGCTTATGTTTCCTTACAATGGTTTCTTATCTTACCTTACACCATTTGTCGGTGGTGTCTAAATAATCTTAGAAAGTACATATAACTCGGAAAAAGTCATATTGTACGTGCTGTTGGTAGGTTTCGAACCCGCATCCTCATGCATGAGAAGCGGGCGTCAGTATATAAACTGGCCCGTAAGCGAGACCATGATAAGTTTATCAAGGTCTCGTTTAAGTAGAATCTGGGACCAGTTGGTCCCAGATCAGCGATGCTGTCACATGCCTGTATAGATACGGTCGCGAAGTGCATATAAAAGT